TCCTTCTTTCCATTATCAAAGGAGTGGCCGTGTGATTGCTTTCTAAAATATGCTTACGGAGTATTCAATGCAAGAATACAATGCACCTGTCATGATGATGGAATCTGGTCTTCATTAGTAACTTGCAAATACAGATGTACAAGATAAAGTTCTTAAATGTGTACCATGCTAATGTGTCCAAAGATCCTGGCATGGACATTATAATGAATAGTCTCAAAGTGAAATGAAGAGAAAGCCTTTATAGCATCTAGTTTTCAGATACTGGAAATATTATCTAGCTGTTTAAGGATGGAACTGGAACAAATTCAAAAATGGAAGGTAAAAGATTAAGAGGATAGACAGCAGCAAGGTGATTCAATTGCAGGATGGCACTCAACCAAGCAAGCAAGGAAACAACCAACCATTTAATAGTTAAACAATCAAGCAATTTATGAATTTATATGTATAATGAGTTTTAATTCAGTCCATACATTCATTTTGCTATTTTTTGTTGTTCAATTTAAATTAAATATTTAAGGGCGCTATGCAAGGTGAATGCTATGTTCAAAATCATACACACCACTTACTAGATCTCACTTTATTTATCTCAGAGCTGGGAATATAAAATTTACCTTCCACTTTTGAATTTGTTCCAGTTCCATCCTTAAACAGCTAGATAATATTTCCAGTATCTGAAAACTAGATACTATAAAGGCTTTCTCTTCATTTCACTTTGGTACATTTGTCCCAATATTCTTTGAATAAGATTGAAATATAGATGTGCAAAGTATTAAGGAGGTATTTTCTGCAACAGCTGTTAAAAATAACAGAATCCCCCCTCCTTAGGAGATCCAGAATTTATCTCTGTCTCAGTCGGTATTCAACTTTGTTTAGAAAATATTTATTTAGCAGGCCTTTTATGATCAATATTAATGTGGATGTACTGATATGATTTATGAGATTATCTTTTAGCTGAACTGTTGCTTATATAATTTTGTTGTTTTTTACAGGTTGTGTGATGCTTTCTATTACATTGTTGAAAGTTGCCTTTTAAGGAGTTATCCTTGAAGCGATACAGTATGCGTAGTATATCATATTAAATATAGAGAATAAACATTTTAGGAAAGTTTGACAGAAAGAGCAGGGACATTTCTGGCTGCCTCTCTAGTCATTCAAACATAGGAAATATTCCAAAGCCTTTTGGGAACAATGGAAAATTCTCTTTCACCACAGCAGAGATCCTACTGCATTGGCACACTCAGATAGGTAGGTGCCTTGCAGAATATCCTGTCTGAAGCTGATGTCAAACTGGGTAAGGATACATTAGGAAAGCACTTGCTGAGATTGCAATAGATCTAAACAATGATTGGACCAAATGGGCTAAGAAATGGATAATTATGTCTTCAAACCAGAGAATTTTGTTTCCAATAGAATAAATCCATTTTTATAATTAAAGATAGGCAAGATCTGGAAGGTGTGCAGGGAAATAATTTCTTTAATTTACTTGCTGTGAGCTGGCATATCTTCAAGGGGCAAATATAAAGACCATATCCCTGGTGTGGGGATCAAGATCTAGCCTCAGTATAATAAATTTGTACAATTGAGTTTTTGCATATTGCTCTATCATCTGACTAGAGTAAAAAGAAATGTTCCTTCCAAAAGTAGATCCTTAATCCTAGTCAAGAGTTTTTTTGGAGAGGGGGAGAATCCAATAAGCACAAAGAACCAGTTTGGTCTAACAGTTAAGTCGCCAGTCTAGAAATCAGGAAACCATGAGTTCTAGTCCTGCCGTAATCATGACTGGTTGGATCAGTCATTCTTTGTCAGCCCAGCCCATTTTACAGGGTTGTTGTTGGGAGAAATAGGTCTGGGTTCCAACCAAAATATTCAGCTGAGTTTTTTCTTTCATAAGTTTTACTCAGGTGCAGATTCCCAACAGTGTGAATCACAGAGGCCATAAAGGAGAAGTAAAGCTTTCTATACAGTTGAGAACAATCTTCTTTTTGCGCAAGAGGAAATATAATTCCAGCAATTCCTCCCTCTGGCTCCAAGAAAACCAATCCGTTCTCAAGGGCCCCTGACCCTCAAGGGATCTGCAGAGGAAGGGTCAAGCCAGAAAAGTTATGAGATAGAAATTGGGATACAGGAAAAAAACACAATCTCTTTTTGTTAGATGTATCATTCTGTGGTGTAATGCAGGGGTCCCCAACCGCCGGTCCGCGGACCGGTACCGGGCCGCGGAACAAGCCTTACCGGGCCGCTGGTTGCTGGGCGCCGCCATCTTTTTTTGGTAAAAAAAGCAATTTTTCGTCAAAAAAGATGGCGGCGCCAGCGCTTCGGGTGAGCTTTTCCGGGTAGAAAGCCATTTCTACCCGAAAAAGCTCACCAGAAGCGCTGGCGCTGCCATTTTTTTTGACGAAAAATCACTTCCGGTGACGTCACCGGAAGTGATTTTTCGTCAAAAAAAGATGGCGGCGCCCAGCTGACGCCGGAACCGGGCCGCGGCGCCCAGCTGACGCCGGAACCGGGCCGCGGCGTCGAAAAGGTTGGGGATCCCTGGTGTAATGTATGGAGACCTTGAGTAATGAGGGAATGAGATGCTGCTTAAGGAACTCTCAGATAAGAGAGGCAGGAGCCTGCAGTCGTTTAACAGTCAGAGAAACAAACTAACCAACTACCCTAATTGATCAGCTAGTTAAAAGTGAAGGTGGAAAATTTGTACCTTCAACTTCAAAGGCTTTATTAATGTAGTATAATAAAGTAGATTTAGTTGGGTTTCCTGGCTCTAGTTTATCTGGGAGAGCTGACACATTTTTTGTTGCTTTTTGCATGAGTACATGTTGCTTAAGAAGAAAAATAAGACAGCTCCAATAGCAGCATGTGTGGCTTTCTTAAAAAGTACCTCTAACTGTAGTTCAACTGTTATTATTCCATTTCTGGGTATCCAATCCAGCACTAAATATCGGTTTCTAGGTAGAAACTTACTGTTACACCTTACTGTTTTATGCAAATTACTTTCAGATTGTGAAAGTAATCCAGCCAACAGCATTGGATAAATAAAAGATGACTCCTCTTTAAAATTCAATCATCTTTAGTTAAACTCTCATTCAAACTCTCTTTAGTCAAAAAAACTTGATAGACAAGAGCCTAGCAACTACCTCTACAAATCCAATTGTTTGGTGTACACCTTGCTATTTTAGAGTTCTACACTGTCAGTTACATACAAAAAGAGAATGCTTATTAATGTTTCTCACAGCTCTGCCTTTTAATGATAAAACATTGGATCTTACACTTTGCTTGCAAATGTCATACAATCTTTTCAAACACAAAGTTACAGGCACATTTTCTTGAAACACAACAAAACAATTTAGAAAAAGCCAGGCTTCAAGATTTTTGGATCAATAGTTTTAAAAATAATTTAAGAGACTTCCGGCCTCTTAGCATTTGTACCATGCTTAAAATTTCCATAGATGTTGCTAACCAAGAGATAAGGAAAAATGAGTGAATCTTTTGTTCTCTTTCCAAAGAGGAAGAAGATACAAGACCATGGATCACTTTCCCAATGGTGAATGTAAATTCTCAGAATAAGAGATCATCTGTATCGATTAATCTAAATAAGAGATAAAAGGAAAAAGAAAAGATGGGCCATTTTTAGAGGCATATGCATAGCTGCATTAGGATGTATTCTTATTATCCTGATTTTAGAGCAGTTTATGAATCCTGGGCATAGAATAGCTCTCCCCGGTTGGTTATATTAAATATAAAAAATTAAAAAGACAGTTCCAGAAAATTGGTAGAACCAAGGCAAAACAATGTTTTTCACCATTACGTAGGGAAATGGAAAGTGTTAAAATGCTTATATCTTTTTAATCCCTACAGTACATCTATAGATTGTTAACTAAATAGTTGAGCAACAAGTGAGAATAGCCAACACTCCTAGAAACTGTGAGCAATTTTAAATCTCTGGTATTCACAATAGCTACAAAACAGCGTAATCCTAATGAACCTAAGATTTTAAGAAAGTATACTACCTTACAGTAATATTAATAGTAGGGGATAATATACTGTATCTTAAAAAGTATTCATAGAGCTATGCAAACAATCCATTATTTTAGTCATAACAATGAGACTTAAACAAGCATAAATCACTAGTTTATGCTTATTTTAGTTTAAACCACATCAGCTAGTTCTGGCAGTAATTAGCAACAACAAAAGTGACGACAATAATATCATGGAAAATTTATTTTTTTAATGAGATTTTTATATTTGTTTTTCATCTCTGAGACAAGAGAAACTAAAACTTCAACAAAGTATTAGTTTAAGAAAGTACATCTTTATGCAATCACATTATTGTACGTTTTTTGTTATTTCCCCCCCTAAAAGTAGAAACCCACCCCTGGGCATGTGTGCCTAGTTTTGGGTGATGGGGATGAAGGATGAAGGATTGGATGTTGCACTATATTATATGAATTATATGTTGTATTAGATATTTTCCAGTGTTCAATAAAATGAAACTGCCTAATTTTCTTATTTAGAAGGAAATGTTTTTCCATCCATGTTTTTATTAGATGTGTAAAGTACATGTGATAAAGTAAAGTATCTTGATGGACTGCAGATTTTTCTATCCATCATGAATCCTCTTTTATAAACTAACATGCCTTCCTATACAAATTAAAATTTCAAATCAGCTGAAAGAAAAGAAACCAAATCATATACAATCTTATTTAAATGCAAGGACTTTGAAGAGTGTTATAACTGAAAATTGAAACTATATTATGTAAAAAAAAACACATTACAATTTATTTACTGCTAGTATCAGTAATGTTAATTATTAACAAAGGAGGTTAATAGACTTTTTAGTCCAATGAATGATCCAGACAAAATTACAATGGAAAATATTTTCTTTTGTCTTTGAAGACAGAACCCCAGACACAGGAACACTTCATGCATATTTCCACTGGCTTCCGGTAATAAAACACAGAACACAATTTTAAAAGGATTTTCCTAGAAGTGGTACTTACTATTGTGCACAGTCGATCAGTTGATATTCATTTGATCTCTCAAAGCATGCCTTTACTCCTTCATCATCCCAGAGGTGTTTTGCATGTTCAAAGAATTCCTGAAAATTGGAAATTTAATAATATATTTTATAAAGTATTTAAATAATCATTCCACTATTGTTAAAACATTTAAGCAGGACTTGCACTTCGAGACTCTATGCAAACAATCATGTAGCACTTTTAAAAGGAGCCTTCTAGGATATTGCCTCTCAAATGTTATTTTAACTTTTATTTCAAAAAAGAAAAGTTTTTTATTAAAATTTCTATTAAAAGTTATATTAGGTATATCTATGTTTTAAATAGAGAGATACTTTAAATTGCTGCAATATTACTTTATGAATTTCATGTATAATCTTTAGAATGTAATGTACTTGGTGATGATTTTACTAGTTCAATTTGGATAAAGACTGTTTTAATTATAGATTTGATGTATCACAATTCCCAGTTAGAATTTAACTTTTCCCTGAGTCATGAATGGGTATTAGAATGTAAGATGCTATTTTAAATGTAATGTTGTTGGAAAAGGAAGTGGAAAGGGGAGAAAATAAATGCCCGTTAAAAAAAAAAAAGAATGTTATTTTCATATTTCGTATTATTCATTGGCTCAGGGGGCTCCAAGAATGTTATTATATTATCACTTCCAAAATTACTTTGCTTGCCTCAAAGCATATATGACATATATTTTTAAAAATGTACAGAAAATGAAAATAGTGAAACATTTTATTCAAAAGAGCATAATAATGAAAGAATATTTGGATGATGGTTTATTTTTTTTACAAATATTATAAAGTTTTGTGTAAAAATACAATCTGCCTTTTTCCAGCACAAAATTCTGCTACAAATGTTAGTTTATTGTACATTAATTTTAATTACAATGATAGCTGTGTCTTAATGTAAGTTACAGTTCTATTTTCAAATAAGCCTTAATTGAAGTAAAAGTTTCACTAATGATTTGTTCATAAGTATTTAAAATCAGAGTATTACATTTAAAACTGAATTTAAAAAATACTCTAAGGGAAATATAAAGTACTTAATTAGTTTACAATTTAAATTGTTAATGACGATAAAGTTTTCTTAATTTAATGGAATTTTATTTATTTATTTATTTATTTAATTTATATAGTACTCATCTCAACAGCATGAAGTGACAATTTTAGATCCTTGTTTTTAAAACCTTTATCACCGCAGTTACATTTCAGGGAATTATTTATTTCCAGTATCAGATTTTTTTTTAAAAAAAGTTCTAAATGTTTGCCACATGCCATGATATATTTGCTTTGAAACTTTAATCCCAAATTCTTACTAACTTAAGTTTAATTCTGCCTATGGAGATTCTCAATCATCCAGGTCATGGTTGTCCCAAAGGTGCTTTTCAAAAGGCAATTGGACTTTCTTGGTTTTTTCTTTGAAGACGTTTCGCTTCTCATCCAAGAAGCTTCTTCAGTTCTGGCTGAATGGTGGGGAATGAAAGGAAAGAAGAAAACAACAAACGAAGCAACGTTGTCATTCTATACGTTGCAGGAATATCTGAAAAGCTCAGGAGGCTTTTCAACACAAAATATTTACACACTTTAAACCCAAGAATAAGGCAGAAGCTTATCCACTCCAAGGATAAAACACAAACTGAGCAATGTGATATATGCTGTGCAGTGCAGTGAGACATGTGCAGATCTGTCCATTGTGAAACAAAAGAACAACTTCACAAATGCATGGCACAACATAGGAGAAAAAACCCATCAGAACAAGATTCAGTAATCCATCTGCATCTGAAAGACAAAGGCCACTCTTTTGAAGACAGCAAAGTCCACATTCTGGATAGACAGGATCGGTGGTTTGAAAGAGGGGTCAAAGAGGCAATCTATTAAAGTTGAACAGCCCTCTCTCAACAAAGGGGGAGGGATGTGACATCACCTATCCTCTGTCTACAATACAGTCCTTTCAGCAGTCCCAAAAAGGTTCCACACCCATTTGCACTCTGATTCAGTTTAATTGTGTTTTGAAAAGCACCTTTGGGTTAAGTTTAATTCCCTTAAATTTAATTTTGAATTCTTATGTAATATGACAATCATAAAAAGAGATATATGCACTTTAAAGGTAAAAAAATATTGAAAAATACAATATATAAAAAATGACACCAGAATAGAGCCAAAATCACAAAAGACTTGTCACAAAATAAAACAACAATAACTAAACTGCCTGGGAAATTAAATTTCGTTAAGCTACCTAGAATGTTTGCAAATGAAAATCTACAAAGCACAACAAGAAATGAAACAAAAACTACCTAGAATGTTTGCAAATGAAAATCTATAAAGCACAAACAAGAAATGAAACAAAAAATAAAGGTAGACTTGAAAATTAATAGAAGGATGGGCAATATTTTGTTCTCTGAGGTCACATTTAGCATTTATGAAGGGCAACATTCTCAGGAACAGGATTATAATACAAGGTGGATAAGGATGTATCACACAGGTGGACAAGTCCACGAATTATATTTTCCTGAATTTGTAGAATATCTAAAACAATAAACCTTCAATCAGTTTAGCTGCTAGGCAATAAGGATGCAAAGAAAGTAAAATGCATCCTTTGTTTATAGTAGAATGCTAGAAGCATGGTTTTGAGATCTTCCACGACATTTTACCAATTTTAGGTCTTCATAGCGACTACAAAGGTCTCTTCCCCATAATTTAGCTTGAAGATATAACTTTTTCCACCAGCCTATTTTACTTTCTGATCAATGGGACAAGGCTGTATACATTTGTCCTCAATCTTGATTTAATAGACAATAGGGAAATGTTTATACATTCAAAACAAATATCTTTTAGATTTGAATTTACACAGGTGTAATTTGTATAATTACATAATTTACATTTTATGCCATCTATGTAAATCTATTTATGTAAATTATGTAAATTGAGACCGACCTATAAATGTCAATTATGCAATTGTGAAAATGAACTAGAATGAAATCACAAAGTTATAAGTTACATAACAAGCTGGTTTTTGACCAAATAAAGTTTGATGATGATGATAAATTATGTAAACTAACTACATGAAATGCACTTTGTGTGTTTTTTTGAAGTGTAAATCTAAGCACAGAAGAAAAATTATTGAGAAAAATAGCAAAAGTTGAAAGTTAAAAGGCCTATACACGAAAATAAGAAACATAGCTTATTGACACCACTGGACGAGATAGCCAGGACCCACTGCCTCAGCAGTGAGGAAAATCCTCAGGGATGATTTACAGCCTGGTCAGCACCTCTTTACTCTCCTACCATCGGGCAGGAGATATAGAAGCATAGCCAGTCGAACCAATAGGCTGAAAAATAGCTTTTATCTGTGGCCTGTCAGACTTCTGAAGGCAACATAAACACCACAATTAGGTTTAATATGATAGACTTGCAGGGCCAGCACCAAGGAGACTCATTTCAATTTCATTGTACACATGTTGTGCATTGACAATAAACATTTGATTGATTGATTGAGGAAACAGAGACAGCAATTGCTTTAAAACTGGTTATGAGAATTAAATAAATATGTTAGATGAAGAACATAAAAATGCATTGATTCTACCATATATTCTAGCAGTTGATGTGAGAAAAGGTAAAAAAAGAGGTGTACCTGCTGGTTTTACCCCACTAGTTGAGACTGACAACTGATAGGAGCTCATTACATCTCTTGGAACTTGGGTCTCAAACTGCCAAGCTGTAAACTTTTAATGGTCTAATACTCAGTATCCTAACCACCAAGCTACTGTGTCTCTTGTCGATGTGAGAAGAATGGGTAAAATAAGGAAACATAACATGAGATTTCCTAAACACTGGTGTCAAAAGTCTTGGGGTGGAACTATTCCCAATTTATCACAAAATTATCACTTTTAATGTGTCCAAAAGGAAAAAAAAAATTCACTGGAATGGATGGAAACATATACTGAAAGCACAATACTGTATGAAAACCTGAAAATAATATGTTCAGAAGTAGGCTTGAACAGAAAGCTTTTAGTTTTAGGAAGGATATCAATACTTAATGCAGGTAAAAATATTCAGAAGAAGAATGTCCCAACAAAAACTATATAAAGAGGTGGAACTGATCACACAGGTTTATAGGGACAGATGGGGAAAACTTCAATATTTGAAAATCAATACAATATGATCAGTGCAACAAAAAAAACTGGTATTAGAATCAAGGAATGCAATTCTAGAAATGCTTTTATTTATTTTTTACTTTTAAAACCCATGAAGTTTTGCCAGGAAAGATGCATGCTGTCTATTTTTTATTCAGAAATGTACACTTCTGAAGTCACAGGATTACATTTTATGATCAGGCTGGAAAATCACTTAATCCAACACCTTGCCAGTACAGGAAATCCATTACTGGGCAAGAATTGATAGGTTCTACTTAAAAACCTCTAATCACGGTTTACTTCCTTTAAAAAAATCTCTGTTCCACTATTGAACAGCTCATAACCTCAGTGATTAACCTAGTGATTAGTCTTACATCTTTTTTTTCTTATAACATAAAGTCATTTGTTCCATCATTTATAAGATAACTATTCAAATGTTTGGAAACAGCTCTTTAATTGATTCTCATAAGCTTAAGTTCATGCAACAAACTATCTCAAATCATGTAGACAATGGCAACCAACTACTATTTAACTCTGGACTAAGAGGTTTGATAAATATAGTGGAGGAAATGGAGCCATGAATTTTCCTAATATAGACTTGCTGGAAAATATATTTTAGTACTGCCACTAAACTTTTTCAGTCTCAAGTTGAATCCTTGAGTAATGAATATAGTCAGGAATTTTGTAAGAAGTGATGCAGTTATAAATATCTCTAGTACAGTTCCTTCTCATAACTAGGAGCAAGTTGGTTCAAAATTTTTAAAAAAATGGCACATGAAATATATTCTATCTTCAATAATTTAAAAAATTATCCTAAAGTTCAATTTTGCAGAATTTTTGAATGCACTTTGTCAAATTTGTGTTTTGAACCTGTCTTTCTAATCCTCTTTAGGGTTTTCTTTAGCAGTCTATTTTTGGCTATACAGTATCATATTCTAC